ATTATTTGCAATTCATTTTTTTAATTAAATCATTTTTGGAATGTTATCAGCATTTTCTTTGCATAATTTTACAATGATATAATAAAAGATTTTAATGATATCATTAAATTCTATTAATGATATTATTATCTAATCTGTTGAAAATTAATTTATAAATTTTATAAAACTAAGCCCAAATTACCTAAATATAGAAATAGCGATCAACCTTTTTTAATATTTCATCATGAAATTTGCACTGGCTAAAGAGAATATATTAATAATTAATTTTTTAGTTAGCTTTTTGACTATCTAAAGAATTAAAATTTCTCAAAAATAATTTACTTTCTTTTTTGAGTAGCATTGTGTCTTTCCTTCTCTTTTTATTCGGGATTTACTTACACAATAGAAATAGGCAAAGTGCTATTATACATTTACAATAAATATATCCAAATTTGTAAGTATAATAAATGATTGGGAGAACATTCAAACAATATTTAGATTAGAATGAACAATTATTCTTTCTTGGCTAATAAAATTTTAAAACTCTTCACACGACCAATATTTTAGCTACTTTCAACCTATTCTTTCACTCACTATAACAATATTCTCTATTTGTAACTAGGTTAAGAATGAATGTGATTGCTTTTAATAAAATTGTAATTTTTAGGCAAGAAATATCGAAACCATTGAATAGCAATTAAATCTTTTTTATTATCAGAGAAAGTAAAATTAAATTTATAGACAAATTATTGTCCTTTCACAAGACAATTTTTCTTGAATGATTTTTGGTAAATAAGGTTGCCAATATTAATTCAAAATCAAACAATTTTTATCTTTCATGCTATTAATTAGAAAGTTCTTAATAAATTAATAATTCAAAATATTGCACTTATTAATTTGCACATGGAAAATATGCTAATTAATAAATCTAGTAGTTAATTTTTATTGTGTCTACAGTTTTGAACTATCTAATACTCTAACTCATGTTGAAAACTTTAAAAACAATGTTAACATTCTTGAAAATCTTTTTCTAGTCAAACCTATAACCCAGTATTATTCTTAAATACAACTGAAATTTCATTGTCTGTAGAAGATCTTTAAAATTTATAAGGGTGTGTAAGTAAACCTTATTTCAAATGAGCAATCTAAAAATATATCTTGTTGTACCCAATAAAAATTTCTGGAAAAGAAATTTATTTAGTTTCTTAAAAGATTTATAGAAATTTAAACAATTAAATATATATGATTTAACCCATCTAGTAAACAATCATGCAAAATCATAAAATTTCTATTGCTCCATCGCAGACATAATCTCTTTCTATTGTATTGTTTTTGAAATAGTATATTTTGAATAAGATTAAGAGAAAAATATTTAATTCTGCTTAAACAGTTTAATTGTCTCTACATGAATTAGGAGTTTGTAGCCCTATTTAAATATGAAAATTGAAAAAGCTGAATTCAATAAAATATTCATGAATTTCAGATAGGCTAAACATTTTTAAAACAATACAGAGCTTAAATAACGCATTACTAAAGATCGAGTTATTTTACTCTAATATTAATTTATAATATGTTATTTTGAACAAGGAATGTATCTCCTCTTAATTTATTAATTTCTCTAATTTAATTTAAAAATTTTCAGATTTCTTAAATAGTTATTGGAAAAAATTTTCAATCACTTGAAGCGTGCACTTATCTAATGAGTAAATATAAGTTAATTGAATCTTAATGAAATCAATTTACCAAGTTTTAATTGAATTATCACATCCTCCAGAAACAAGTTAGTTTTCAGATTGATTTAAGTTTAAACAGTCTATGTAATTAGTATGCTTTTAATATGATTAAGAACTCTTCCTTTCTTTTTCATTTATCTATTTCCAACATCAGAATTATAAAAACCTGCTGATATAAAATTATTATTCTTTTTACTAAATTATAGTAATATATTAATAGAAGCAGAAATCATAATTGATCCAAATAATTTGAAAGAGATTGCATAAAATTCTAGTTTTTACTAAAATTAATTATCAATCAATTGAAAACAGGGATCACTTTACTTTGAATTATCAATCAATTTCATAATTTCATATGATTGGCTAAATACAAATTTTATAAGACGTTGTCACATTATGATTATAGTTAAAAGTCGTTAAGCGTAGATAACCTCAAATTAATTTTATTACAAATTGAGTTGTTCACCTTTGTAATTGGCTCAATTATTAGTTCCTATATCATTGAGACGTTTAATCCATTCTTCATAATTAGATATCAATAAATCTAATTGTTAAATAAGCTTTTATTTTAATGTATGAATTTTATTCAAAAACTATTCAACTTAATCTAAATTACCTTTGATCGCTCTTTAGATATTATCTATTTTATTTTTTTAGTTATCTTAAATCATCTAAAGTACCTTGTTAAATCCCATCATTTTAGCATCTGCTTCAAAAATCAATTTATTACATAAAAGGCGTTCCTACCTTTTAACTTTTGTCAAGACACTTCCATACGTATTGATTCATTATGATTTTAACTGCAATTCAAATTTTTTCTAATTCTATCAAATTAACATAACAAATTAAATTCGCTCTCATTTTGTTATTTGAATAAATGAAGAATCAACTTATTGAAAGTTTAATTTTTTTTTTATTTTAAATTTCAAGAGAAAAATATAAAAAATGATCAAATTAATAATGATATATAATAATATCCTAATATTTGAGAGTATTTATCAATATTTTTAAATAATTAACTAATATATTAAATATAGTTTAAATAAAATATTTATGTTTATGAGATCCTCTTTATTAGGTATTTATTTTTATAAAAGTTT